GCAAGATGGGGTTGGCCATGGGCTCCTCCCGTGGTCTGACGGGCGCACCAAAAAAACACAGCTCGAGCATTTGAGAGGTCGATGGCGTTCCCACACATGCAACCACCATCCGTACGCATGATCTCTCCTTTGCAGCTGGTTCAAGCGGGGTTATGGTTAGCACGTTGCGCCTGTGCTTTTCAGTGGACGTCACCGGACAGCTTTTGGACGATGATTGCAATGCGCCGCGCAACCTCTTCCCTTCAGCCCTTCCGGACTCGATGTGCCGGCTCTGAGATGGTGGCATGGTGGTGTGTCGAGAGAGGTGTCAAGCTCCGTTTTGGACAACGTCCAATAACGGCTCGGCGCCGTTTCCGGAGAGGATGCTGACAAAGGAAGGGAAAAAAATGTTTGGAACTGGTGCTACTACAATTGCCATTTCCCCGCCGTCACCGGTCGTGATCCCGAACTTGACCGTGCCGCCCGAGTCTCCAGACGGGATCTTTCGGCTCTGGACCAGGCTGTCCCTGAAAGCTTTGACCGCTGCTCTCACGCCCAGGCTCCAACAACAGCCTGGTCCACTTTTCCTCGAACACAAGCGAGGTTGAGGACTTGACGGTGAGTCGGTGAGGTTCCCCCTTGCCTTGCCTGCCTTGCCTACAATGCTCCCGTCTGAGACGGAGGTGAGCAAGGCCTGTACTTACCGGCAGCCGACGATGGTGACGGGCAAGGAGCTCGAACGGGACGGGAAGGCTGGATGCGCGACGGGACTCACCTGCGACCTGCATACCTCCACTGTCCTTCGAGGTTTCAAACAGGTGTTCGTCAAACCAGACTCGGGTTCGGGAGAGGAAGAAGGACAAGCCACTTGTTCGCCGCGCCTGGCCGGCCATTCTGGTCATCTCATGTTTCCTATCTTTTCCATTCGTCGTTTCACATTGATGATTCCCGAATTGTTTTGTCTCCAAAAATCTTTTCAGAGGAGCACAACGTGGGCGCCAGGCCGCCAGCAGGTCAGAGCGCCTAGCAGTAGCGTCAGGTACAGAAAGGGCTGCAATGTGGATTCGAGCATGGTCCCCCGGACAGTTCGGTTCAAGCTCCGTTTTCCTCTCGATGACGAGAACTCCTGAAAAACGGGACGTATGAGCGATTGCAAGTGTAGCCGGGCGAGAGTAGGATCTCAACCACATTCCATTTGCTTCGTCTATGCCTTGCCCAATATCTCAACTCGAGAAACTCTATATGCCAGTGATTTCTACCACAAATTTCATCATGATGCTGGTGTCACGCGCATGCAATGGCCTGAGCTCACGGGCGGGTCCGGGCCCTTTCGCAAGTGGGGCCCTTTCAATGGGTTTGGGTTTCTCTCCTGGGCTTCCTCGCCAAGACATCTTTCCCCTCTCCTCAACTTTCAACATTGAAAGTGAACGACGACAGTTTGGTCCTCGCCTTCAGCAACACCCTCACAGCCATGGAAAATTATCGCTGCAACGTCTAAAGGTCCTCGAAAATCACCGACGATAAACAGGTGGCGTTCAAAATCTCCGATGTCCGATCCTTATCATCGCCCGAGACTTGTCTTGGGCCTTGTCGGACGGTATCTCGTGCCTCGTCCTCAGACCTCCTGTGCCCCTCTTGTCGAGTAACCCAACCCGTCGATCAAAGCGATCACTGCTTTCAACACACCCACATCTCACACCATGTGACCCGGCACCAAAGACGCACTAAGACACGGGCGTGGGACATCACGTTGACAAGCAAAGACTTCCCCCGTCGGTGATTGGATCTACAATGACAAGTCCCGCCCTTCCGTCTTTCTCGATATCAACCGCCTGACAGATACCGTTATTCGCTTTCCGAGTACCGAAGCCTTATCAGTCATATGGATCGTGATCATGCAAAATATGACGAGATTTTTACTTGCGCTCTGAGGACTGGGAGAGACACTCTCACCAAGACGCCCTTGAGGATATGGTTGACGGGGAGGCTAAAGTACTGACGATAACGCGGGGGTGTGGTGGCACAACAACCTTGGCTTCATCTATGATCGTAAGTCTTCTCTAATTTGGGTGCACATGCTATCTACAGATTGTTGCTTTGATCGCCTCGCATACACACGAGCACATATTACAGCCGCCAGATCTCGATTCAAGTGCAAATTGTATGCCAACCAGCTCTTCATTGTTCCCATTTTCATGCTGGCTGCTAGCAGAGGAGCAGAGGTGCAGGTACCTCTAGGCGGGGACCGACATCGCACCTTGGTCCGTTAGCGCCACGGCTTGTTCTGTCATCTTTTCCGGGAGCGTTGAGCATTGTTTATCATGTCTGCTTAATTTTCATTACTCAACTTTGCAGTCTGTCGAAGCACCTGACATGTTTTGCCGCTCGGTTCCCGTTCAGACAGTCCACCTGCATGCACAAGTCCCATCGTTCGCATTTCTGCCTGCGCCCCTTCCCTTGCGTTGAGCCTACCCCAATAAACTCCGGGGATTCGTCTTCGGCCTTTCCCCCTTTGAATGCCCATAGAGAGCATATTTGTACAGGGCATGCCCGGTAGCTGTACATTAACATGTATGTAAGATAAGCTGGGGTGCAATGTTGCTGGGCGGAGGACTGTCAACTCAGCCTGGTTCACTAGGCGGGCATATTTGCTGGCGCATGCTGGCTGATTAAGCCTCGCGTTATGTCCAGTCTAACCCCCCTTTGGGTTAAGGCTGAAGACGAATCCCCGAGTTTATTCGGTACTCGTCGGGTGAAGGTTCACGGTACAGGAGCGTCAAGCCAGATCAAAGAATCCGAAGCTCCGGGGACGTGAGGACATTCCGGCTTTCTAGAAACAAACCACTACTAGCTCGCTTCTGCGGCCTGTGGGCGGCCATGATTGTCATGAGTTTTATCTTTTTTTGTGTGCAAGGCTATGGCCTCTACAGGACAGTCCATTGATGCAGATTGGGAGTTGAGGACATGTGTGCTTCGCGGATTTTTCTTCCAGATCCCTTCACATGACCCTTTCGTATTCGGGCGGTCTTCTGTTTCATCAACAGGAATCGAACATATCTAAAACCGTCCAGTTCGGTCCAGTCGCACATCTCCTCAAGCACCTGTCTTTTCCCCTCACTATCTGTTGTCGGTAGCTGTACTCGAGATCACTTGCGCCTGCAGGCCGGCCAATCATTGACATCATGCCGATACCTCTTTTCCCTTACACTGCGTTGAGATTCTTACAAGACGTTCTACAAGGGGAAGTGCATACAAGTTCATGCGGTCTACCACGCGCGCGCTATACCGACTCAGGTGTAGCTAGCTTACCGCAGAGTTACTCAAGTACATGAGGACTAGGACCGCCTGCTTGCTCTCTTTCTTCCATTCCTGTGCTTTTTCAGGGTCTTTATGGAGACAGTGGAGCGATGATGGATACAGCAGGTGTACACTGTATCACGGCGTGTGACACATACAGGACCGTCGCGGAGAGTCCCGGTGTCCGTCCTTTTGTTGGATATCAACCAGTGTTAGATGGCCACACCGTTCTTCAGCAAGGTGGTACAACTTCACGTGAGGACGCTAGGCTAGGTACCTGGTTGCTGTGGTGAGGATAGGGGTTGGTAACTCGTCTGGAGTGTTGTTTACTCTTGTCTCGGCAGATGTTGAACGCTACTGGTGTGATGGGATTGTGTGTTGATTCATTCGATATACCTTCCATATCTGGCATTTTTGACCTCGCGCATACATGAACAAGGCGATTGTTTTAGTCGGGAAGATGTGTCCATGCTTCGAATCCTCAATACTTTGGTGCATGAGTTGCCGGTCTGGCTTCATGTGACAGCTATTTACTCCAATCAGAGTAAAGCCCGGCGAAGTATCACTAGGGTTATCATCAAGGCGAAGGATGGCCAGTGCCCAAGGTCACTTTTGTACTTCACTGCATTATATCACGACGGAATTGAACACAGTGACTGGTATTAGTACATGCCTCAGTTCCAGTTCTCAACAAGTAGTCACTGGAAATGAATATCCGCGGCCGTCCAACAAACCGCGTTGGTTGGGAATAGTGCATTGCCATGCTGCCCTACCTGGACACTCGCGTATATCTCACGTCAATGCCAACTTAAGGTTCAATCATGTGTTTCTCCACGTAGACAGTTGATGATAGATACTTTCTCTCCATTGTATGATCCGTTCTTGCCTCAGATTTCCATATTCCGCTCCTGCCTTGGAGTGCCTTCGGGGCTTGGTGTGTTCCTTCCGTCTGAACTTGAAGTGGATACCTCCCATCCTTACTGCAGGTTCTCATGCCGGCCGTTTATTGTGCCTTCCTATTGACGCGGGATTCTGAGCCCGCAGCGCAGTCATAGTCCCAGGTGAATGTCCTTTTTGGCGAGAGCAGCAGGCAGGGTCTACTAGTATTGACGCATCTCTCGTCGCCGCCCCATCTACCTACGCAAGCGCAACACCTGGTGCCTAATCGCGCATTCTGTCCGAGCTTTTGCACGTTGAACCTCCCAATTGGAATTTCTCATCCGAACATACCTCGGCAAACAATGCTTAAGAATCTGCCGTGAGCACGCAATTGAATACAATAAGCCAACGGTCTATTCATCTGGCTTCTTGCTGAGGCGGATTCCACCGGTCACCGCGGCCATCAAAAGGCAAAGGTTCCATCCATCAACCTTCACCTCCCCGACCCAACTTTTTGAGACCAAACCTTCTCGATAACCTGGTCCATTCACGCCTCTTGCACAATTTTCCAAACTTAAACTCAGACACCCGCGGCCCTGTTCCCCATAAAATTTCTCACTTCTAACTCCCCTCCTCGAGCAGTTCGAAGCTTCGCCATATCTTCCCACCCTCACCCAGGTCTTGTTTCTCCACCAAGAAGCAAAGCCCGCGTTTTCCCAAAAACTGTGCTGCTTCCTACCACCAACGGCTGCTGCTCTCGTGTTGTTTCATATTCACCAACAGACACCCACCAACCATCCAGCATTTTCTACCCTGATATCCTGAGCCCTCTCGCTCTCAACACCATGGCCAAATCCCGTTCTTGGAAGGGCAAAGCCGTCGACAAGATAACGTCAAACACAGGCTATTGACTCCGAGCCACTGCAGCCTATCACAGATTTGAACGTTCACGCCCAAGTCGCCAGTTACGGCAACTCGGAGACGCCTGCCGTGGCAAAGCCTCGTACCCGGAAGGGCAAAGGCCGGCGAGGAGATACGTCAAAGCAGGCCACCGGGCCTAAGTCACAGGAGCCTACTACAGACTTGAACGCTCACACTCATGTCGCTAGTCACGACAACGCGGAGACATCTACCATGGTAAAGCCTCATACTGGGAAGGCCAAAAACCAGCGATCAGATACGCCAACGGAGCCCACCGGCTCCAAGCCACTGCAGCCTACCGCACACTTGATCAATCACACGCGAGTCACTGGTCACGGCAACTCGGAGATGTCTGCCATGACAAAGCCTCCTACCCGGAAGGCCAGAGGAAGCCGATGGCAGACAACCGGCTCCAAATCACAGCAGCGTACCCCGGACTCGATCAATCGTACAGAAGTCACTAATCACAACAACCTAAAAACGCCTGCACAATCTGGCTCCAGTGAGATTGACGGAAACGCTGGTCAAGGGGATTCTATTCAGCCGGAGCACGCGGGTAATATATGGAAGTCAATTGCTGTCACGTGGGATCAAGGCAATAATTGGCAGAAGACGACTGTCGACACACAGACTGGCACATTTTACCCTCTCCCTGGGACCATCGTCGACTTTTCCCGCCCAAAATCAGACTTCCTCCCGGAATGCCAGCTGCCCCGAAAGCAGCAACATGCTACCTACAAAAGCCTCCTCGATTTGACAAAAACGGTATGTAATTTCTACCCACGTAATCTTAGAGCTGGCCGCTGACTGCGCCTTTCCACAGGCTTTTCGCCCCAACTTGCCCGACCCACGTTTGTTCTCCTACAATCGAGAATGGGTCTCTTTGGGAGACAGAAACCCCCGAGATGTGTACGACATGGTACACAGACGCGACGCTCTCCAGCAACTCCCCCGAATCCACAGAGAAACATCTGAAGCCGACGTATTGCTTATCCAAAAGCTTTACCACAGGAAGAGAAAGGACGCGGCATTCAGCTTGATGCAGGCTACCACACAATGCGAGCCAAGATTGTTGCTGGCGCCTGCTCCGGCTTATGGTGTTCTTAATACGTCCGAGCCCATCAAGACTGACCATGGGAACAACCCGAAGAACATGGAGACCGGACTCATCCGTTTGATGAACATCCCGGAACTCTTCAACAAAGTGGTGCACTACATTGAACCCTTTATTGCCGACCTGACATCGTTGGCAATGGCTTGCAAGGACACCGCCCGATTGACCAGTAGTCAGTTCGCAGTTTGGGACTTCTCTTCGGGTAACTTCCATACCGAGGAGACTTATGGAAACGGAGTAGGCGGAATACGGATGAATACTTTGATCATCACACCGATCACTAAAGTCCACGCTTCTACCCCTGAAGACAAGCCGTTCGAGCGAGAGTTCAAGTTGTTGACTAAGATGGTCCGTATCATGTGCTCCACGCTCACGAGTTTCCGACACTTGATTCTTGACCAGATCCCATATCTCACAATCGATCTGGTAATGTTGATGATCAAGTCAATGCCAAATCTTGAGAGCATTGCCATCACGCGCTGCAAACAGCTTGATTTCAGCCAACTCGGTCCTCTTCTTCGTGTCATGTGGTCAATGAAGAAGCTTGCAGATACCGGCCACCACAAGCAAGTTCGCTTGGATTTCTACCCGTATTTTTTCGAAGGTCCAACTTTCGCGCCCAACACACTTGGTTCTTTCGGGTTGACCTACCATAAGCCAACCTTTGACGTACCCAAGGCCATCTTCGCTCGGATTATGGCGTACTGGGACACGGCCGGCAAGCTCGGCGTCGACCTTCTCAGTGACAGCTCGGGGATTTGGCATTTCATTCGCCGTCTACCCGGTCCAGATCCATTTTGGGCGTACAAAGCCCGTGAAGCGGTCTTGACATGGGAACGTGATCGATGTATTCCCCTTTATGGTCACGACGCGCATCTTCGGAGATCTGAAGTCACCAGGCGGCTGTGGAACGATTTGGCCGCAGCAGTTAGTGGCGATACCACCGAAAGGATTTCTCATCAGTTGAAGGAGAGGAAGTGCAGTGGATGCACCACACCTCTTCCGGATTACCTCTTCGCCGATACCAAGTACCTGGTCTGCTGGGGATGCAGAATGGGTGCTTTTGTGGTGAACCATGAAGACAGCCATTTCCGGGACCGTACAAACCGCGTCGTGGAGATCTGGCTGGGCAACCGGAAGCAATGGGCTAAGCAAAGACTTTATCGACTACCCCGCGACGAGGTTGAGGAGGGAGATGCGTTAAATATGGCGAGATTGACCGACAAAGCTTGGCGGTACGAGCTTTTCGAGTTCAAACCGAGCATGTCCCGGTACCCACAGGCGATACACTACACAACGCATTTGTCTTCAACCAAGCGGACAAGAGATCTTTTGTGGCCATTGACGGGGCCGACGAATAATCGTGAGGGTGGTCCCCAGTACCATAACCCATATCTCCAGTCTGCGGTACTTGGTTTGTCGGATGAGAAGGCCAACCATAAGGTTCGAGACCTGGACAAAACAAATCGCCGTGATTTCTTTGGCATCTATTCTCATGATGTTCGGCGCTTGCCTGATTGGGAGCCGTATAATCGCAACTGGGAGGCAAGAGAAAGGGCCAAGGCGGTTTGGCAGGAAAAGGCGGCGGCTTATTATTCGAAAACATGGTAGATGAGCTCGATTCTCAAGCCTAGGACGCATCGCTCGGATCGGGAAGATGTAGATGGGTATTTGTATATTGCGCGGACCGGTAACTCGTCTTTTCTGGGCCCTTGATATGAGAACTCTGCTAGAAATGGGCAAATATTCACTTCTTCCTCGTTTTATGGACGATCAAACGAGAAGGGGGGCGAATCAGTGTCATCATACGACAGGGCTCAGGTTTGGGGATTATGACACTAGGTTTCCAGGCCATATTTTCAATGATTGGGGGAGAAAGTTGAATCATGACGGAGGGGTTAGTCGAGGGATGGTAACTTTGTTTCTGCGAGCCTCGCCAGTTCTTCAACTTTCATAGCTTTCTCGAACTCCGCTGCTAGTTGTTCCACGAAACCTTCTGCGACTTGAAGGGGTTTCGATAGCCAAGTCTGAGCAGAATAGCTAGTTCTTAGGAAACTGAACTCACATTTAAAATGACAAGCGAGATTCCACATTAGACTTGGGTAACACCGCGATGTGAAATGGGACGGTCTGGGCAACAAAGTGAAATGAAATGATGCAACATCATTCACCACCCAGTCTCAGCAGTCTCCCGAGGTAAGCTCCCTCGAATGAAGTACAACAAGCCTCGGGAACCGAGAGCATATGTACTGAACAAACGACTATGATCCTGTTAGCGACTATCATCAACTATAATCACGTGAAAGATGATGATGGGGCTGGTTAAAGATAGGGGTATCATAGTTATCAAATCAGACAATACTCGCTAACACGCTAATCATACAATCAAACGAACAACACATAACACGTAAGGCAGATTCCGAAAATCATGCCTCACTCTCAGAAACGACATCCTCCTTTTTCTCCTTCTCATTCCCCTTCTGCCTCCTCCTCTCACTCGCACTCTTCTTCTCCGTCTCCTCCATCATGGCCCTCGCCTTCTCCTCATCCTCGCCCGTCCTAACCGCTCCCGGCACATTCGTGACATGTCTCAAGTTTCCAAAACTCAAACAGTCACTGATCCTCTTCGTCCCGCTAAACAGCATCACCATCCTCTCAATACCACACCCCCATCCGCCGGTAGGCGGCAGCCCGGACTCCAAGGCTTGCACATAACTCTCGTCCACCTCCATCGCGCTCTCTCCTTCCTCGTTGTACACGCCAGGCGCCAAGCCTTCCCGTTTAGCAGTATTAAGCTGGTCAAGAAACTTGGCGCGCTGCGACACAGGGTCGTTTTCTTCTTCGTACATGTTCGCTAGCTCCTTGCCGTTGACAAAGAGCTCGGTGCGCGCGGAGACGCGCTGGCCCGTCTTGGGGCAGACGAAGGACTTGGAGAGCGGGGACATGCAGACCGGGTGGTGGGTGATGAAAAGGGGTTTGGTGAGGGAGTAGGGCTCGAGGAACTCGGCGGCTAGGTTGTCGAGGAGTTTGGCGAGGGTGATGTCGGGTTTGTTGAGCCCGGGCACGTCGATGTTCTTCTCCCTCAAAAGGGCGAGGAGCTCCTCACGCGCTGACGGGGCGGCGAGATTGGGGAGGTTGAAGCCTAGTGCGGATTCCAGGGAAGGGATGAACTCGAGTTGTTGGAAGGGACGCTGGTACTGAGACATGTCGATGGCGGGCAGGGAGTCGAGCTTGGTGGCGATCAGGTCGCGGCAGTGCGCGGCGGCGCCGCAGAGTAGTTCCTCCGTTAGGGCGATCAGGTCGTCTAGGTTGGCGTAGGCGTTGTAGAACTCGCACATGGTGAATTCGGGGTTGTGCGTCTGGTCGATGCCCTCGTTGCGGAAGGCCGGGCCGAGCTCGAAGACTTTGTCGACGCCGCCGACCACGAGACGCTTGAGCCACAGCTCGGGGGCGATGCGCATCGCGAGGTTCTTGTTGACCGAGGTCTCGGAGGCGGCGGTGGTGAAGGGCCGGGCGGTGGCGCCGCTGGCACTCTCGGCGAGGATGGGGGTCTGGAACTCGAGGAAGCCACGCTCGTGAAGGAAGTCGCGGAGGTACTTGATCAGATGCGAGCGCAGCCGGAGGGTGTCGATGGTCTTGCGGTTGACCAGCATGTCGACGTGACGGTGCTGGATCCGAACTTCCTCATCCTCTAGTTTGAAGGGCAGAGGAGCCAATGCTGGGGTTAAGAGCTCGGGCAATCTTGTGGCTTCGATACTGAGTTCACCAGTCGGCGTTTTGGTTGCTCTGCCGGTGATGGCTGTGGAACGCGAGAAGAGGTGCACCGGTCAGTCATGCGCTGTCATATGATGATGGATGGACAACAAGGGGAAGACATATGGGACCAGAATCACGTACAGACAATATCGCCTCTATTCAACAATTTTGCAAGCGTCCTAAATTCTCCTAGCTCGACTCCTGTGACCTGCAACTTATTGAAGTTACAGAGCCCCTGCACATGCTCGAACTCGCCTTTGAGGTCGAGGAACATGAGCTTGTTGCCAGCCCGACGGACGGACTGAACCCGGCCATGAATGATGACCTCTTCGTCGGCATGCTTGCCCATCTCAACATCCTTGAACTTCTCCCGGAAGATGGGGATCCGCATGGGCGCACCGCCTTCATGGCGAATGCGAGGATACTTGAGGGCATTGGACTGTATCAACTCGTGCTGCCGAGCCAGGTGGTAGAAGCGCAGGTATGCCGCGTTACGGGCGCCCACGGGCTTCCACTTCCAGGCGTACGGCCTCAAGAACTGAAGACAGGGAGTAGATGAATTCATTATTGCGTCTATTGAATTGTCGTGAGTTGGTTAGCATGACATGTCTTCCAGAACCAGGTAGCCGTAGTTGATAGCAAGTGGTGAGGGAATGGGTAGAAATTTCAGAAATGGAGCATAGTGTGATCATGCACGCGCAAGCGCGTGTCAGTCGCAACGGTTCTAATGTTTTGGCATGTTCATCATATAAAATGGGCAGTGTGATGATTGTGTATCGAGAAGAATTGTGTTGTTGGTAGTACTTACAATCATGGTGGTTGCCCCAGTGTGTTTTGCCCACCTGGAGCTTGATTGTAGAAGAGAAAGATTTGTCTCAACACGAGCCATGACGCTTTTTATATCGTACACTTTTTTTTCTTCCCCAAGCCCTGTTTCCCCCCAAGCTCCAGTCTGCGGGCGGGCCTCTGCCGGAAACTGGAGCGACTTCTGTGTAAGAGGGGTCGTAGCCAATCAGAGCCCTCAATTACCGCTCACCGAGCGTAGCTGGTATTCACCTTTGGTCCCGACCTTGCCGAAGCTCGGGCCTCACCGTGAAGGTCGCAGCCGAGCATTAGCCGCGCCCGTACCGCCTTGTTTCAGTGAGTGGGTCCGTGGGCAGAAAGCAGATCCAAAAGTTCTTTGAGCCAAGAGAAGCTGCCCTGCCCGGCGGGAAGCTTGTTGCGCTCGCCCGCGCAAGAGAGAGTGTCGTCGCTTCGCTGCAACGGAGCCGCTGACATCAACCTACCCGCGACGCATCATCCTCCATCCCAAAGTAGGTCCCCGGTCCCAGATTTCAACAACGTACAACGCCAACAACCACACAATTCTCCAAATACCACGAGCTTTGTTTTTTTAACAGCGGCACTTAGACCCTTATTTAACGAGTCCCCGTCAAATCGATCCATCCAAAATGTTCGGACTCGGTAGGCCGCAGCCCACTTCGGCCGAGAAGATTGCCGCCGTTGAAAACGAGCTCAAGGTTGTCGCCGAGATGCACTCCCGGTATGTTTTCCTGTTTTTTGAACTATCTCACAACTCTCCTTTCTCTACTCCTTCTTTTAAACCTATTTATCTTCGCTTTACATTCTCCTGTTCCTCCTTTCCCTTCGTTCCAATTCTGTTACCCAACCCTACCATCATTACCATACACAAGACTATTTTGAAACCATTGGACGCAGTCGGCTGACACTTACACTCCTCCCCCAACAGCATGGTCAAGATCTGCACCCTCAAGTGCATCGACAAGACGTACCGCGAAGGCGACCTCAGCAAGGGCGAGTCCGTCTGCCTCGACCGTTGCGCCTCCAAGTTCTTCGAGACGCACCAGAAGATCTCGGACCAGCTGCAGAAGGAGACCCAGGCCCGTGGTGGAGGTGGCTTCGGCATGTAAAAAGAGAGTTTTAGGAGGATAACAAAACTGGAACGGGGAAAAGCATACTACAACGAAATAAAACAAGTTATACCCATGATCACCCACCCGCAACGATCCGGTTTTTTCTTCCTCGCCGGTTCTTGGTTTCGAGGCGGAAAAGAAGCACAAGAAGGAGGAGGATGAGGGGCCGGGGCCGGGGACGGGAGAGAAGGAGAGGGGATGAATGAGATGCTGGGTAGGGAAGAAGTGGGCGCAACACTGATGACGGAGTGTCAGAAGACTGCGACTCGTGTATTATACAGCTCAACACTATGGGATTGAGACTACTTTCGTACTAGAGGATAGTTCGGATGATGAACAGCGCACGACTGAGACGACTGTTATCCATCGACAAAACATTACTCAAGAAGATGTAGCGGATGATCTCGGATGGTCTTCGGTGAAAGCTCTGGCTGGCTCTGGACATCTAGCATGATATGGGATCATCGGAAAGAAGGACCAAGTTCGATCTCCAGCGTTAGCAGTAAGGAGGATGTTCAGTTCATTCTCAGCGGTTGCCTTGCACACTAAACTATGGCTTCAAACCTTCGAACATTAGCTTTATCCATTAGCTACAGCTATACCCAACTTCTTCCTCCTCCTCCTCCGTCGATATCTATAGTTCTGTATGCAACACCCATCCTCTTCGACATCACCAAGCCCGGGTATTGTTGAATTCCTGGCCAGCACAGGCCAGAAAGTTGAGTAAACAAAGGAAAGAAAGAAAAGTCTGGTGGGTTGACTGCAACTTGAGAACACCGGCCTAGGAAAAAAAAAACAAGCTCCATGCATCCATCCATGACCTCCCACGTCCAGCTTTCCATGCTTTCTTCTTTGCAGGGAAAAGCCCAACTTATGCGGGTACCCCAGTATGCACAAAAGAAACCGCAAAACATACGGCACTAACTTGTTTGTCTCTTCCAGAGACAACCAACCTCTATTATCCAAGAAACCCCTCCCATCTTCCTCGACAATAAACACACTACTACAACCACAACAACCACCTCCCCACGCCCACGACCCCCCTGCCCACCCCCAAGAACACCCTCGCAATCATCACCACAAACCACACGTACCACATAAACCCAACCAGCACCCACTCAACCGCCAACCACCCAGCCCTCCGCACCCACCTAAAGCGCCTCCTCCGTCTCCTCACCATCCGATCAATCATGTCCACTACCCTTTTCACCTTCAGCCGCTGGTGCGTCATCAGATCGCCCCCAGCATCATCTGCCTCCTCGGCCGCGCGCCTCGTCATCTCCGTCAGCTCGCCGTTGAGTCTGGCCCGCAGCGCTTCGACGCGGTTGGTCAAGCAAGGCGCGGTTTGGGTTTGGAAGACGACGACGGAGGAATGGAAGGCTGTTGCGGAGTTTTGGATGGATGACGACAAGATGTTGGCGGCTAGGGGGAAGAGGTCGGTTTGGGCGATAGGCTGGGTGAGGAGGTGGTGATGGGTGGAAGGGTCGGGGGAGAGGGCGACTATGTCTGGCCAGGAGAGACGGGAGTTGTTCGGTTCCGCCGTTGTGCTGGCGTTTTCGTCCTCGGGCTTGCTGGAAGAGGAGTTCAGGAGCTTGCGGGCTTTAGCGCGCCTGTCGATTTCCATTGCGTGAATGCCGGAGCTCATCAAGAGAGCCCGTAATCGGGCAATCTCTCGTTTGGAGACGATGGTTTGAGGAGGAACGGGCGTAACGCTCTCCCCTCTTTCACCTATGGACCAGCGTCCTGCTGAAGAGGCGTTGGAGAGCTGACGGTCTTTGACCATGGATAGCATGGCGTTTAAACGAACGTCAACATCCCGCACACCACCGACATCTGTATTGACGCTGCTCTTCCGCGAGCCTTCCACGTCAGATACGTCGGAAGTCCCCCATGGATTTGAACCAGTGATCCTGGGTGGGCGTAGACCTGGTGTTGATGTCGGCGATGCATTCTGAACGTCGATCTTGGGCGGTTTCAGAAGCTCGAAGCGGGAGGACCGACGACTGAGCGGTCGCGAAGGGGGACTAGCGTTAAGCAAACCGGTCTGTTGTTCGATCGAGCCGCCAATGGACTTGGACTTGCTATGATGCTTTTCCGCGGCGGGTATGAACTGTGGCATGACATCCAGGTAACTCCTCTCCCCGTTCGCCTTGCCGTGGTTGGACGGACTACGACCAACCTTCCGTGGTGGCGAGCTGGGTAAGGACCTGGACCTGCCTCTACTCTCCGCATCGGAATCATCTGAAGAACCATACTCGTCCAAGGGGCCTGGGGCAGTCTCTTTCCGCCAGAACATATCGCTGACCTTGGAGACACCGCTACGCAAGACACTATCGATGCGTTGGCCCCGGAATAGCCCTTTCAGGCTACTGCTACCGTCCTCCCGAAGTTTGTGGTTCCCAGTACTCTTACTCGACTTTTGGCTAGAGTCGGTTCCTTTTGTCACTATTTTGCGAAGAGGACTGCGGGAGCCCTTGCGCTCGGGAGGCAGAAGCATGCCAGTTCCGGGGCTCAAAGTTGCTGGGGATTCTACCGGTTGCCGATCCGACAGACACTGTACTGATTCAGGGTTGTCCTCTCTTCCGTTATGTGATGGAAGCTCAGCCAACCGCTCGCTACTGCGATCTCGAAATATGCTCCTAACTTTTCTCAGGGGGTTTCTGCTCGGTGAGCTCGCCATCGGTGAGCTTGGTCTCGTTGACCTTGGCGAAACGTCCATGCCCTGTCCAGGAACTAGTGCGTCATGCATTGGCCGCAAGTCGGGCGAATATGGTGGTGATGTATCGTAATCCGTTGAAAACCGCCTATCACCGTTCAATGACCCAATGCCAGTCCGTCCAGCAAGAACCTGTGCCGGCGCTGGCTTGGTTTGAAGCTTGAAGTAAGAGTCCTCCAGGTCAGCCGGTTCAAAGCGCGATGCCGGCCTGCGGCCATCAACGTTGTCAGCGCGGCCAGGCGTCGGTGTAATCTGCGTTTTGTCCCAATCTTTCTCGGATATTCCCACTCCAGCATCTGGGAGCTTCAACCGCTGCGTGTCCTGGTCATAGAGAGGATGCGATTCGACATCTCTCTGCTCCTGAGCGATCATGTCTTCCATCTGCCTTGCCAGTATGTCCTTACCACTACTGGAGATGGTCCCATGTCTGCCTCGCCGCTTCCGATCGCTGTCCGTATCAGACGACTCTGAAAACGAGCCTCTATGGATTCGAAGAATGTCGCGATTGTAAATGGAGCTGTTGGCTCGCTGGTGGGATCCCTTGAGTGCCCGAAGTTTCTGTTGCGCTTTGTCCCGAGCTCGACTTGCACTAAAGCCGTGTGGTTGCTCGTGATGTGCCTTTTGCGCCGGCTTTTGTTCCACAACCTGGGGCGGTTGTTCCGTGCGGGTCTTGTCTAGAGTCGTGAGACTGTTGGAGTTGGAAAATATTTTGCTTGAGCCTGGAGTATCATCTCTTGAGAGCGAACGGTAGATTTCAGCACCACCTTGCGGAAAGAGGCGCTTCCAATTCCGATCCTCCAGCAGGAACTTATTGTCGTCCTGTTCAAGCCAGTAGATGTCTGCGATCATATCCGCCGGATCTACGGCCCAGTCAACTCGTGGCCGTTTCAATTTAGGCATTACTGTTGTCGGCCTAGAGCCGAGGGACTGAGGAGAATTCTCCTGGGAGAGAACACGAGCCGGTGAGAATGGGGGTATCGATGGATTTCCCGGCACTCGGTCCTGACCCTTGGCGATCCATTTGGCTACTTCGTCAACCCATTCGGAAACCCTATCAACATCATTGAAGCCCTGACCCTCGCCATCCAGAGTCTTTTTCTCACGAGCCCGAATTTTTCTGTTGCGAATATACTGTAGCGGATTATAGTTTCGGCCAATTATTGTTTCGGCGTCATTGGTCAGCACTCCAGAGGGGAAGTTAGAACCATTAGGCGTCAGTGGAGGGCTAACGATGGAGGATGTTCCTGATCGGTCGGCCTTTAATGGGGGTAGGAGTTCTAGTATCCGTCTGTATTGTGCCATCAACCCCAAGTATTCCTTTGCTTTTTGCGCTCTTGCCAAGGTCGACTGGGAAAAGTGGTATTGATACGGTTCCAGATCGGCTGGAGCTTGTAGCGACCTTGCGGATGCGAGGCGTGGTGAGTGGTCCGGTCTAGGTGACATATTCCGCGAAACTCTTCTTTGCTGCTGCAGGTGTTGTCGAAGACTTCCTCCTGTACCGTTTTCCGGTACTGGCCCCAGTCTTGGAGGTACTGGCTGAGAGACGATCCTTCGCGACGCTATCCTCCTCGATTCGCTCAAGTTAAGAGCCATATTGACAATCTGGGCCGACTCCATATCCAGGGGCGCCATGCTTGTTCGTGGGGACGGATTCGCCCCAATGACCGTTTCACCTGCCAGAGAGCCACGGTTGGACGTGACAGCGCTGCCGTTGAAGGAGGGTGCTTGGCGAACAGATGGCTCAGTTGTCGACCCCGAGCGTTGAACAAGCCCCAAGCCTATCTCATTTGAGGGACCGGTACGCTTGTTCCGGCCAGGCAACCTGTCGAAGCCATGTTTAGTGATCCTATTCCTACTAGGCTCTAACAAGCTCTGCCTCCTGGGTAACTGTAGCTGGGTATTCGGAGGGTGCGCGTCGAAGACGGGATCGGAAAGGAGAAAGGCGCCATTCGTCCTGTGCTTATAAGGGCGAAGGGCGCCTCTGGAGAAATTTCGGTCATCGGTACGAGGGTGATCGGAACGGGGGAGTCGCTGATCGGGCGGTATACTGGCGTCATCGTAGTTGTCGCCGTGGTCATCGTTATGATTCGAGGAAGTCACAGAGACGTCGGGCAGATTCGTAGTGACCTGGTGGTTCTGGGCAGAGACGGCTGTCGAGGCATAGTCGTGGCGGTCGGGAACGAGGAGGTCGGGTTGCTTGGTTGCTCGGCGGGGACGAAGGTTGGATGATGGGCTGGCATCTTGGTCGGTCATTGCTGTACTGCGCCGTTCACATGCCACGTCTTCAGAGGAAGCGGGAACGGAGGAACTAGAGTCGCACGGAATGGATAATGATAAGCATCGTTGTGAGTTTTGCCGTCGTTGGTGTATGAAATGAAGAGGATGCGCAGTCCGTCTTGGCTTCTCGGGCGTCTTGTCGCGTATGGGCAACCCTCGCTCAGCTCCTCTAGTCTCCGGTTGAGGGTTCGTCGCCAAGTGTCTCCGTCTTGTCGGTCGGTTCTTGTGATAGTCGAAGGTGTCTGTATCTGGCTGGCTGGGCTGGGCGCTTCTTCCGTGGCTTCAGTCTGCCATGTGAACACAAACCAAGACAATGGCCAACGACGACGTCAGACGGGCCACCTAAGACAGGTAGGTACCGATGCAGTGCTATGCTATGTCGTGAGCTAGGTACTTTCTATTCGCCGAAAGCACTATAAAATGGCTGCAAGAATACCTCTAGCGGCGCATGTAAGGGAGATGAAACAATGACCCAGTGGATTTCTGGCTCTTTGTGCGACAGGAACAGGCCGTCTGAAAGGAGTGATTCGATGGCTGCGATGCGATGGGAGGATTGGGACAGATGGGAACACGAGGCCGAAATCGAAGGTCACTTTCAAGACAGTGCAGGTCCATTCAGTTGCATGCGCTACGTTCGGGTGCGATACGGGGCTGTTGCTCCCGAACAACTTCCAGTCCTCCGCCTCCATTCTCTCCAAAATGTTCGGTGGAGGTTCCACCCGTGCTCCCACCCAAACCCGTCACTGCCATCCGTTCCATCGCCCTGCAGAGCTCATCCTTGCTGTGTCATCGACCTTCAGTTTCGGCAGTTCATAGGGGGCCGAGGGGCCCCCTGGCATGCCTCCATGCCTGCACGAGAGCTGGAAAACGAGGAAAATGGGGCAGGGGCAGAGTTACCCCACTGTTACCCGCTATGGATCATGTTCCGTTGGGCCTGGGAGCCATTGACAACCGCAGTCCTTCAGGGCCTGGGCTGTTGTTGTTGACTTTCCCTGATGCATGTCAGCAATGTATCGGCTTGTAAACCTTGATCCATTGCCGCATTTTTGCATCTTCACATGGGCAGCATGATGATTTGCATGGCACTGTACGTTGGATGATGAACGTTTCGAGTTTGATATTTACTTATCCCAAGTTTCTTAGGAGGCAGTCTACCGGAATATCCAAAGATGGTGTTGACCAACGCTCCGGTCAGGTGGTTCTTGTAACGTGTAGTGGCTGAGGGTTGATCTGCGAAAAGAAAGGAAACCCAACTGCTCTCGTTGCGATGTGATGAACAATGGGATTCCCATTTCCAACACCCCAACCGTCCAACAATGCTTTAGCGGTGAGCTACTGTCGAAGCCCATTATCCCCAACAAAGGAGGCAGGGATAATGGTGTTTCAAGCATGGGGATCAAGGCAATGTCATACCCAGCACGTTTACCGCCTAAGCCTATAGCAGATCCAAGTGATCGATGAACACAACGGATACAAGCTTGGCCTGCCTTACTTGGGGGGCGTTTCTGGTTGGCAGTAAATATGGGTGTATATTTCGGAAGCAGATTGCTAGGTTCAACGCATGTTTGATTATCTGTATCTTGGCCCTAACAAACTGGAAGGCAGCGCCATGATGAGATTAAACTCTCGAAAGAATTCCGCTTATGTATGAAGTTGTCAACCCAAATTAAACAATATTCGCGGGATGCCCCATCCCTCTAATACCTGTACGCCCGTCACCTCCATGTAGCCAAAAACCAACCCCAAAAACCAACCTAAAAGACCAAGGTCATCCCCTTCTGGGCATCATAACTATGTGCTCCTGGGACCGCCTGTGTAAATCGACAATTGTTCCTAACGCTCAGAGAAAATGCAAGACACCTACGTAACCATACAAGAACCACTAGAATACTGTCACCGCAGTAACAGCGCCATTCTTCAACACCTCAAAGACGAGTCCCGGGAAACCATAAAGAGTGGTCGTGGAATCTGCAGGCCCGTCAAACTTCTTGGCCGTGCCACCGGCATCTGGTGCCGCCGTCGCGCCATCTCCTTCCCACCCGCCCAGAAACTCGATACTGCTACCGGGACTGTCTCCCCAGCCTCTGTTAAGGACCATGCCTCTTTGAGCCTTGCGCGCTTCTTCTTCAGACGGGTAGATCGACTGCCACTCCTTGCGCAGGCTCTCCTCGATTTGTGGAAAATCAGACTCCGAGTTGATCACCACGTCCGAAACTGATGAAAGATACGGGATCTCCCATCGACAGCGCCGGTGTCGGTTAAAGGGATACGACCCAGGCACATTTCCGTGCAGAACGATCTTCGTGGCAACAAGGCTGTCGGCATTGGCTGTGACAAGCCAGTCCTTAGGAACGTTGGGCACATTCTTCCCTTGTTCCTGAGAAGGCGGTACCGGAGATGGCGCCGTCGGCTTTGAGACCAGCACATCGAATCCATGGAAGAAATAATTGTAGAAGCACTCGCCCGACACGTGGCCGCCTTCGATGCTGACATCACTGGTTTCATCGTCGCTAGAGTGGTAACCGTCTGACCCAGCGTTTGCCGACGATTGATCTGTATCTGTAAGGTCGTCCTGACCCTTCAAATCAGCACTGTCTGGTCGCTTCATGGCATCGCTACCAGTCCGCACTTTGTGGGCGAACATCTTATGGTCGTTCTTCCGGTATATAGCATCGGGAGGACCCAATTGTGATACAAGATCTTGCGGAGTGGTCTGTCCGAGCCTGATCCAAAAGTGCTGATCCGTCCACTTTCGGAAGACCTGCAGTTTCCCTGCACCGTAAAATTTGATCAAAGAGACCTCGTCAGGAAACACCTCCTTCCCCTTAGTGAGTGGCGTGAACGTCTTGAGACTGGGCAGCACCTCAGTCCACAGCGTCTGTCGGGCCTGCGTCCATGAATCCCCACTGAAGATGCCCATGACCTCGGGAACCTGTGTGGATGCCAGTAGGTCAACCACGTTTTTCTTGGCCGAGTAGGTCGCTTTTTTCATGAGGAAGCTGAAAGCCACCCCGGGCCATGACAAGCAGTACAGACCATACTGGTCGACGGCGTTGTCTGGGGTCTGCGGCCCATCAACGAACTCGCCATTGTAGGTGGGACCAAGAAACCGCTGATAGATATGACGGAATGTAGGGCCCGCGGTGTTATCGGTTGACGGTGTAGATGTTGTGGAAGGACGAACAAGGTCGCGCTCCTTGTTATCGGCTGCCTTGATAAAGATATGGTTTTTTGTGAAGTCCACCACCTCGATTAAGCGTAGTCGCTGCTCTGGGCCATCGAACTGTAGACGAATCCCGTTCGCGGGGAGGTCGATGATGATAATCGACTTGGTCGGCTCGGTTGGGCTGTACTTGACATCGAGATTGGGGAACCGCTGGGGCTCTGTCTTGAGGCGGGTCAAGATATCATGCAATGATGCTCCAAGTACCAACCAGCCCAGCGCGCGGCCGGGATAAAGCTGGGCGGAGAACAGAAGGGGGGAAATCGGCGGCGAGGTAGGCGTCGACATGTTGAAACTTGTATATCCCGATGATGATAATTGGAGTTGGACACCGCTCAGGGTGGTATATGGGAATAACGGAGATGGGACGAACTCCAAAGTCGAGTCTTGTTCATCCAACGGGCTTAATGGCACGGCGGAGGATCGAGAATGGCGGACAGCAATATCGTGTGTTCGATCTATATTCGGTGTAATGTGGTGCTGGCTTGATGTTGGGATAGAAAGGAAAGCGGGATTAGGAAGATGGGAGTTGTCCGTCAAGGTCCTCGTGATCTGGGGCGGCCACCGACCATCGGCAGCTGCCGCCTGCCCCCGATTACGTGGAGGTACCCAGGTACCAAGCTCTATTACTTACAAGTACATGAAGACGGCGGCAGGCAAGACAGAGGGATCAGCAGTCAGCACTGAAACAGCAGTACTCACTCCTTTCACTTGTGGACTGAGAGCATGGATGGGGATGGAGGGGAAGGACACAAAGAGGGCATTGTGCTGGCAGTCACAGTCACAGGCCGCTGTTTCAGCGATGATTGACGGAAAGGAAGCACAACGTAAGCCCCTGGCTATTGAAGATCAGTGGTCTGTGCGTTTGTTTTACTCACACCGGGAAGCGGTTGCCCCAGCAATGGCCCAACACAGTGGAGATCAATGTTGATGTCGCGCCTGGCCTGGCAGCCTGTCCCTGCTGCACCAAAGCAGCCAAGGCCAGCACCCAACTTAACTGGAAAGACCTGAGCGCAAACATTGGAAAAAGCGATCCCCGCCATTCAACCCGTCGTCCTTGCTCAAGACCTACCCGACCGAGTCGCTCGCATAATCGACAAGAGGAAGCAAAGGCCGGGCTCGCGACGTCCAGTCGCTCATTCCCGACGACGTGTAGATTCTACACGCCAATTTCTCCCACGACGACCCTGCCGTCTCTGGCAGGTTTCCAGCTTCCACTTGTCGCACATAAGAAAAAGGCGTCGATCGGCCGATTGAACTACCCACGACCTCCCGCTCCCTCTATCTGCCATCAGCTCTCTTCGACCACCACCACCAATGCTTTTTGGATTAATCTTCGCCCATTGTGTACTTAAGCTCAACAGTCGTCACTTCGCATCTTTTCGCTTCTCGTCTCTCCTTCGACCCAACTTTCTTCTCGATTTCGCGACCTCGACCCTTCGATAAAGCATCGCCCAATCGCGCAGCTCTGGCATGGAGCGTAGAAAACCATCAGCCATGTCGCGTCCACCATCCGCCGCGGGGACGCGTAGCAACACCAGCATGCGACCTCCAGCTACGAGAAATACTGCATCTTCGACAAGCCGACAATCAGCCCTCCGAAATGCAACCGCACCGGGAGGTTCTCGCAATGAGCGATCGGGCGCCGCCTCACCAGCAGACTCGCAAGTGTCGACAACAGCAGGTGCGAAGCGCAAGGAGCGCGATTTCGACCCGGAGGACGAGGGCACTACGAACATCAACGTCGTTGTGCGCTGCCGAGGACGCAATGACCGGGAGGTCAAGGAAAACAGCGCCGTCGTCGTCAAGACGGAGGGCCTCAAGGGCAGGATAGTTGAGCTATCAATGGGTCCCAATGCAGTGAGCAACAAGACTTATACCTTTGATCGCGTCTTCTCGCAGGCTGCCGATCAAGCCATGGTCTTCGACGAGGTGGTGAAGCCTATCTTGGAAGAGGTAAGGAAGGGCTATCAGAGCGGTCAGGGCCTGTCCATAGCTGACCTGAACTAGATGCTCGCCGGTTACAACTGCACCATATTCGCCTACGGCCAAACAGGCACGGGCAAGACATATACCATGTCGGGCGACATGAATCAGACTTTCGGCATGCTTCCCGACACCGCAGGCATCATCCCCAGAGTCCTACACGCTCTCTTCAATAAGCTTGAAGTGGACGACAAGGAACACTGCGTGCGATGCTCGTTTATCGAACTTTATAACGAAGAGCTGCGTGACCTCCTCTCGGCAGAGGATAACACGAAACTCAAAATATTTGACGACAACTCGAAAAAGGGTCATGCCACAACTATTGTACAAGGCATGGAGGAAAGACACATTTTGAGCGCGGCAGACGGCCTCAGATGGCTTCAAGAGGGCAGTGTGAGGCGCCAAGTAGCCGCGACAAAGTGCAACGACCTCAGCAGTCGTAGTCATACCGTTTTCACCATTACCGTCCATGTCAAGCAACAAACCGAGAATGGAGAGGATTATCTGATGGGCGGAAAGCTGAACCTGGTTGATCTCGCTGGCAGCGAAAATATTCAGCGCTCCGGAGCCGAGAACAAACGTGCCGCGGAGGCTGGTCTCATCAACAAGAGTCTGCTTACTTTGGGTCGTGTCATCAACGCCCTGGTCGACCGCAGCCCCCATATTCCTTACAGAGAATCGAAACTTACACGTCTACTTCAAGACTCATTAGGTGGGCGGACAAAGACTTGCATCATTGCGACAATTTCACCGGCCAGGAGTAACATGGAGGAAACAATTTCCACACTTGATTATGCTTTCAGGGCCAAGAACATTCGGAACAAACCGCAAATCAACGCATTGCTCAACAAAAAGACGCTACTTCGAGAGTTTGCGACCGAAATCGAGAAACTCAAAAGCGAGCTGATTGCTACTCGTCAACGAAACGGTGTCTATCTGTCGAACGATGCTTACGAAGAGCTGACCGTACAAAACGAATCGCGGCGAATCCTTACGGAAGAACAAGCGGCCAGAATCGAGACACTCGAAACGAACCTTCGAAACAAGCTCCAGGAGCTATATACGATGACATCAACATTTATGGGCCTCCGAAAAGAGCACGAAGCCACAAAAGCGCATCTAGACGAGACCAAGGACGTATTGGACCAAACCGAACTGGTGTTGGCAGCTACCAGGAAGTCGTTGGCGGAGGAGGCCCACATCAGAAGGGCGCATCAAACAACCGAACAGAAGCTTGCCAAAGTGGGTGATGAGCTTATTTTTACCATCAAGCGGACCGTCGAAGATGTCGAAGGACTCCATGCGAAGAACAGAAGAAGGTCCGACCTACATGCGCTCAATCGTAGCACGTGGGCCATGTCGCAGTCGCAAGTCACAGGTATTACTGAGCTTGTTGAAAGTCGGATTGCAGAGTTTCGCAGGGGGCAGGAGGAGCACATATCTAGTGTTTCAGAACGGATGCAAAGTTTCGTTCAAGAGGAGCTCGACAAGCTATCCACAACCCAAGCCTTCCTGGACCAGAACTTGGAGCATTTCGCACAGTCTAGAACACAGCTGCTGGAACAGAAGCAAAAGTCGAAGGAGGAGATGGACAACGTGCTGGAAGAAATCAAGGTTGTTCGGGACACCGTGAAACAGCGCGTTGGAGAATCTCTCCAGGCTATCGCCTCGGCGGCTGAGCGGATTGCAGGTGACGTACTGGGCGAGCTAACTACCTTCCACAGTCAGTTACATGCTTCGTACAGCTCGCTTGGGAAGGAATGCAAAACCATATTTGAGGATCTGCTTCAGACGATAACCGCCCAAAAGGCCGAAGCTGATAGACTCCGGCAAGACCTCGAGGGTGCTAGTCAGACCATTGTGAAGTCTAACGCAACTGTGTCAGCCCGGATACAGGAGGTTCTGGAGGAGGAGCGAAGACAAGCGGCCGAGGAGAGGCAAAACCTTCTGCTACAGATTGGATCCCTCATCAACTCGCAAGCGGAGATGCAAGAGTCTCGCTTGGCCGGAAAGACGGCACTTATTCGACAGGCGGTCCAGGATTCGAATACGACGTTTGAGGGCAGTATGTCCCAGTATCTGGAAGGCATGAACACTTGGAACGAGAAGGACAACAGACTTGTGGAGGACGTCGTTAAATCTCGTGACGTGCTCAAGAACAAGATGCAGGAGGACTGGGCAGTAAGCTACCTGTGTTGCGTCTCGATTGAGGACTGGTTTGCTAATGAAAGTCACAGACTGCCGACGAACACAGCAATTCTATACAGAACACCACGAAATCTGTCCATGCGGAGACAGTTCGTGTGGTTGATGTCCAACTCCAAGATCTCGATGTCCAGATGCAGGATCTTGACAATTTTGTGTCCCGCGCCCGCTCCGAAAACTCCGCGCATCACGAACAACATGCTGTCTCGATGGAGAACCTCACCTCGACCGTCGAAAAGTCCTTCATTAACATTGCAGACCATTTCGGCGAGCGATTCGACCGTATCCGCGACCTTAGTGGCGAGATGGATAACGATGCGAAAACCCTGAGGGAGTCTCTGGAGCCGCTCGACGAGTCCCTTCGTCAGCCCCTTGCCTGCCTCCGCGAAGACATCCAGAGCACCAAGATGCGCGAGTACGAGCCCACCGGTGACACCCCCGAGAAGAAGCGCTACGAATACCCGACGGACCTTCCGCGCACGGCGGGCCATGAATCGCTCATTGCAGGTATGCAAGACAAGCCTTCAACGACGCCGACTACCAGTCCAGCCAAACGTGCAACGACGACAGCGGTATATAGTGATCTCGTCTCGCCTTCGCGTTCACCTTCCAAAGTGCCATTATCCGTGCCAGCATCACCAAGCAATAATCCTTTCGGTACACCCGGTCCCATTGCAAGCACACGAATCAAACCGCGCACGCTGGAGCCCAGTCTACGAGAAGTTAATCCAAACCTCGGTGGTGGGCCATCGGTCTTTGGCGAATTGTCGTCTAGCACAATGTCAATGGCACCGCCACCGCCGCCATCTGCATCTGTTATCGGTTTCCATGCCAATAATCCGGAACACAGTGAAGAAAATGCGACTCAAATACCACTCTTCAGGAGAAGTAATCGGAGACAATCGCCTCGTGGGATAGCGAAGAAAAAGATAACTAGTCATGCTAACGGGATCATCACGGAGGGCACAGAAAACATGCCAATTCCGACGGCAGACCCTAGTGTCGGTATTGCCGGAAACAGGAGGAAGACGCCACGGTTGGGGTGAGGTGGTGATGGGCTTGGTACGTTGGTGGCCTTTGGGAGGCAATCAAATAGTCGGGTTGGGGAACCGGCAGGGTGGAGTCGATCTGAAGGGGAAGACGAAGGTGTTTGGCGCTGGTTGGACGATTAGGGGAGGATAATTTCTAGCATTGTTAGTCCTGTTGGGTTTGTTTGTTTGGCAGGAAGAAAGGACGCTCCCAATGATAGGACGGGATGGTTGGTTTGGCTGTTGTCGCTTATGTTGTACTCTTTATCGAGCACTGATACCCTCATCGTATATCAACTGGTTTCTCCTTGGTTTGAAGTTTTATGGTTCCGGCTGGGTGTAGTGGATGGGAGGAAAAAAGAGAACTGAACAAACATTGCTACGCAGATTGTTGAGCATGCAAGCAACTTACTTTGTTCTGTACTTTTACGTTGTGGTAGTGTTGTCGCTTTTTCCTTACTTTCAGGAAGAAGTTACCCGTCGAATCTCAGAATCCTGAGCCAGTCAGTCACCAACAAAAAGGAAGGAATGTCGATGTTTTTTTGACAATACGCCGCAACCACGCAACGTGATTTAAGAGAAAAGACAAAAAAGACTGGTCCGGAAATCTCGAAAAAAAGGAATTCCCACCTGAGCGAAGGTGGCTACTATTATTGACAAGAGTGGGATTCGAACCCACGCCCTTTCGGACCACGAACTCTGGAGAGAAGATTAAGGGTTAACCTTAACGTGGCGCCTTAGACCGCTCGGCCATCTTGCCTTGCTAATGAAACATTGGAAGACTTTACTTTTTATAATCACGTTCATGGTTGTGGTCACAGGAACAGACTTAAAGGTACAGGACACGAGGACAACGGCGTGCTTCGTGGGTATTCCAAGTCGTTTGCGCACAAGATGGGTGGAGTGGAA